TATGCCTTACTATGCTTGTACTAATGATTTTGAGTCTAATTTTGAGTTCAAGCTTTTAATTCCACTTTAAATTAACTTTTATAGCATACGTCATTTCAGTCCATTTGCTTGATGCAGTGGCTAACTGTCTAAATTTGCCAGTTCTTCCAGACAGACCTTACCCACACAAAATCTACCTTTATTTGAATTTGTTTATAATCAAAATTCCCTTACACGTCAGGCACACAATGATCCATTAACAGATAGGTACATTGTGACCTACCAAGCGAGAGAATCGTACATTTCAAACTCTATACCTTCCTATATGGGGCATGCGAGTTTAACACATATTCAATTTTTTTTTGTACTGCTAGTGGGGGTGGCAGCCACCACTGTATGAACCCCCCACAGTTAGACGGGTTGGTTTAGTTGTACCTATAACAGAAAGTTCTGACCCCAATTCAGAGCGGTAGGTGAAGAAAGAAATCTGCACTCTGGGAGGTGAAATAGCTATCGAGTACGCAGGATAGATTATCAGAGAGAACAGTTGAGCCTAGGCAAGCTTCGGATATACGACTACTAAAAGTGCAGAACGTCTATCTAGCTCTCCTTCATGACCCCTACAGCTGCAAATAATCGTTCGTACTCGATCCCACTGCAGAACTGAAAAATAAATTACACTAAAATGACTCGTAAACTTCTGTTTATTTCTCTTTTGGTTACGTTTTCAGCAAAGAAACAAATTACATGACAAATCGGATGCGTTAGAGCAAAATTTATACGATAAGTTTCTCCTATAAACAGAACTACAGCTTGATGCCATGGATAAATTATTTCTCTTGGAGAAAAGAAATGCATTTCTTTGAAATTGTCTTTCTGCTATATTGAAATCAAGTTTATTTATATATCTTTTTTTAAAAAAAAATCCGCTTAAGTGTTGCATGCTTTCTGTATCATGTTCAATGTGCGGTACAAAAAGACAATAATTTGCAGATATCAGTTCTCAGAAACATGCAAGAAGATATAGTGGTGTGTTGAAGGGAATGTCAATAGTGTTATATACATGTCGTCGTAGTAACTAAAAACAAAGCGGGTACCCTACGTGCTACAAAGGAATTCGAATTTGATCAATAATAATGTTTGAAACAAATATTCAGAATATTCTAGTACTGACTTGAACTGGGCCTACACGAACACGCGTCCAGACATTCTCCAGTGGTATGTAGGCAAGCCTGATCACAGTTAGTTCAAGTCAACCAATCAGATTTCAGGGCGGAAACCTTTACATAGAAAACCTTTGCGGTATCTTTCTCGAAATCATACGATAGATTAGACGCCAAAGCGTGCGGACGGTAAATATAGTGCGCTAGATCACAGCAGCAGACGATTCATATTTACGAACACGATGGATTTTGTAACCGACATTTCATTCCCTGACTTCGATGATAACACTGCAGGAGAGAAGAAAAGGTATTTAAAACCATCCTATTTATAGTTTCCTTTTTCGTGTGTGATCACAATCAAATTACTATGTCCGAAGATGATGCTAACCAAAAAAAAAAAAAAACTCAAGCCTTTTTCTTTGTTAGCATTCATGTTAAATTTGAACTTTATTCAAACCGATCATTTTGTTGGGAGGTAAGGGTAGGTTAGTGGGGGTGTCATTCTATTGTATGCACATTATTTGAATTCTTAGGGATCGACCAGCTAAAGGGGTGAGTTAGGAGCTTGTTTGAAAAGACTTGCTCAAATTTGTTAAAGACAAATGAATTTATGCCTATCATTTTAATATGAAACATTATTACGCGATAACGGAAAATAATGGCTAGTTCATAAGAAAATCCGGCTTGCTGACCTTACCTATGAAAACGGTAGGCCATACATGTTTATACAACAAATGTGTGTTGTAGGTTACCATAGGTCGACCGGTACACTAATGTAATAATATTTTAAAACTTTTTCTAGATGGATAAAATTTTCTTCCAAAACGATTACAATTTTTTTAAAATAAGTTAAAATTTCTTGGTAATGTTTTTAAAAGGAAGAGAAAGCCAGGACATGACATGATTTCTTCATAATGCATCTCCTCATTTCTAGAAATTTGACCTTGCCTATCTACTATTTCAGGATCTTGTTGGGAAATGACGTAAATCTGTTGATAGACGCATTACTTCGAGCCATTGATGAAGAACAAATTATCGTTGGTGTTCCGGAGTGTGCAAGCGTTCTTGAAAAGTAAGTTATCTTGTGATTTAAACTATGTAAACAACTCCAGAACTCCAGTGAATATACTGAACGAATTTAAAATATTAATGACAAGTTTATTACATTTCTCAAATTTAGACGCTGCATTGTCTCAGTATTATAACAAATATAAAATATTAATAGTATCTTGAGTAGACTAAATTTATTTATGTTATATTTGCTATACCAGTGCTGTCCAACATGCGACCCGTGGGCTGATTTTAAAAGACAGATTTTAAAAAGCCGGCCAGAGCTCCCTGGACCATGGTGTCGAAAAGGCTGGAGAGCACTGTGCTATACTAGTACTAATATTAATGCATTAGACTTCCTTGTGGACTCGACCACAACAAAAAAAAGTTGAGGCTACGACATCGTAGCTATGTGCTATACGTCTCCACGTGTGTGTGTGTGTGTGTGTGTGTGTGTGTGTGTCTACATATATCGTTAAGTATGAAAGGGATAAAGCTGTACTTCGATATCATGAAGTTTTCTTTTTTTTTCAGTAATCCAGATTGTGTGAAGATGTGTGTCCTGCCTATGAGCAAAACTAAAGACATCTCTATACACATCCAGCACAAGCTTATAGAGGCCTATTGCTGGGAGAATGAAATACCTATAATTAAGGTACACCTCTTGGTCTATTTTCATTAGTTATATGTTTTCCCTATATTTTCACTGAATAAGCTCTTTAAAAAAAAACAACTAAATGTAATGTGTTAGAAAAAGTTCAAAATAAAATTAAAAAATGTTGCCTGCAAAGGAACAAGTTTAATCCTTATAATTTGTTCTTCTTAGTATCACATGCAATGTAGTAATGTTATTGTTGGTTTTTGCAGAAATTCTAATATTAGTTCGCTTAAACTGTCATCATATCATGGACACTTTTCAAAAAAATATATTTTTATTTTCACAGGTTATGAATGCTGAGAAACTTTCCCACTATTTACAAGTTAAAACGAATCTCAATATCAATGCCACCATGACCTGTATACTTATTGCTGACGCAGACTATCGCCAGAGCAATGGAGTTTTAAGTGACTGTTGGTCAAGTTCTGATGACGAACGCCCAAGTTGAGCAGCCCATTACAGCATTAATGGAACTTAATCATGGTAGGTCGAAGATTTTTTGGTGTTAAAGATTTTAGTTTTTTTTAATTATGATTATATCATAATCATGGAGCTAATATTCACAGATCTTGAAATATGTCGTATTTAAGAGTGTTATATAATAATTATTAGATGGTACCAAAGAGGTATATATTTATCACATTACTCTTCTGTCTTTTTGCAGAGATGCCCTTATCTCAACCAGAACTTCTGATGCGTGTTGCATCACAAACCATCGTGGCCGCCTGGGAAGCAAGAAATAATCACAAGTGACTACCCATCAAAGTGGTGAGCAGTCTGGGCCTATCCTTATCAGCAACATTACTATTGTGGCAGTTAACATGTGTTAATCATGTTGAATGTGGAGCAGGGACACGGTGCATTGACACTGAAAGAACAGTTTAGTAGCTCTATTAAAACGGGTCAAAATCGCGATGATTCAGCAGTGTATCATTCCACATTAACGACTTGACGACCTCCTTTGTGATTCAGCTTTGGCAAGGCTGATTGAGATTTTACCAACTACAGTGAACTCCAGTGACTTCAATTATTCTATTATTTATTGGACTTCATAAATAGACCATTTTCAGAGATAAAATACTGACAGTGCCTTAAGTTTGCATTCTTTGTTTGAAGTGAGTTCCTTTTGCCTTAGAGTTTATGTAAGATGATAAAGAAATGCTCAAGGACAAAAGAGCAACTGTTTTCTAAATTGTTATACTTAATTGTACAATACAAACAAAAATCTGAATTGCTCTTAAAAATGAAGATAATTGATTTAATATTACTTTTATAACAATTTTAACAGGAGCGTTTTTCAGTTGAACAAGAAAATTACAAAATGAAAATGTTTTTAATTTAAAAAAAAGTCTTAATGTTTGCTAAATACGTTTTTCTTCGCACTGTTTATTCGCAGTTAAACCCTATGTATACATGCTGTTGCAAATCGCCGTTTTCTACAATTTTAAATAAATCTAAAGAATGGCCTTTTCTGTTCTTGTTTGCAAATATGGGCACAATGTATCGTTAGGAAAGGAACTTGGCTCAAATTTCATCGCAGTGTATTTAAAATATTGTTCTAAACCAACAGCAACATAAAAACTCCTTCTGTACTTGTCACCTTGTTGTCTCTTAATGTGTATTAACAAACTTAATGCTTAATTAATTTTACAAAGACAGGAACAAAGTTAAATCTATGGACGTGAATACAGACGTGGGATATGTATTTTGAACAGCTTTCTGCATGCACCAAGTTTTCTGAGATTTGAAAAAGAGTTGGCAGTGTTACACTTAAGCGTATGCATTTTTCACACATGGTCAGGGCCGCGGAAAAGATTTATGAACCCTAGGTAAAATTCTCCAGCAGTCCCCTGAATTGCAAATTGCCTCTGGAATTTTGTTCTTGTTGTCCTGCCCTGGGAGAAAGCTGCGTATTTTCTGACACACTAGCAATAGCGTTTCCAGTTAATCTGAGTCTCAAAGAGGTACCAAAATAGCCTCACGCCGAAGACGGCATTTTTCTCAAACAAGATTCTCTCTCTCTCTCTCTCTCTCTCTCTCTCTCTCTCTCTCTCTCTCTCTCTCTCTCTCTCTCTCTCTCTCTCTCTCTCTCTCTCTCTCTCTCTCTCTCTCTCTCTCTCTCTCTGACACACACAGAGATATCTCTGTATTCTTCTGGTGGCTTTGTGGTTAAAGCGTCCACCTCGGGTGTGGGAGGTCGCGGGTTCGAACCCTTGCCGAGCCATGCCAAAGACTTATTAAAATGATACTAACAGCTGTTTCGCTGGGAGCGCAACATTAAGAGGTTAGTGTTTGGACTAACCGGCCTGGTGATAGGATAATATGACTGAGTGGGACATCATGCTACATGTCTGCGGCATGATTCCTCAGTACTAGATATCACTATAAACTACCACATTGCATGATAGCGGTATGACTCAAACATTGTTAAAGTTATATTAAAATTCACATCACACACAGACACACGTCTTCAAACGACTGCCGATATTTCATGATAAAAATATACTATCATATCCTCAGAGTAAGAAAATTTGTTTAAAAGTACATGTATTGCACTTAAGAAAATTTGCAACTTTTAACGAAAATAAGGTCGATTTTTGCAATCTTCAAACGTGTTGCTGTTATTGCTGAACCCTCGACAGTCAAAGCTTGTATAATATTAAAAAATTCACTGTGAGTGCATTTGTCTTCAATGAGTACAGCTTTCATGTATTTCCTGTTCTGACGCAGTACATTTAGATCCTGTTCTAAGAATTAATGATTAATAAATAACACGTTTACATTTCATTTCTTGAAGTTCTATTTATGGACTAAGGCCACTGTAGATAATTTGATTGTGAAACTTTGATCAATCTAAATATATATTTTCCCAAAAAGATATGTCCCAGTTATTATTATGACAGAGATCGATGACGGTGGCATGTAAATGACATTGATATCGTTAAAACAAAGCTAGATACATACTTCCGTGACAACGCCTTTAAGCGGTTTTTAAAAACGAGATATTTTTCAAGATGGGCAAATGAAATTGTGTCAAAACCATTGATAGAACATGGCCATTAAAGGTTATCGAGTTCACTTCATTGTGTTTGACTAGCTATTCAAATTTCAAGGAAGTTTAATTATTCCTTCGCACATTACTGTTATTCCTCTTTCATGCAAAATGGATGTTCAAGCGGGATCTAGGACTTGTGCCAGCGATATCCAAATGTCGAATTTTTGTTATCTTTTGAGTCGCAAATTTTCACGGTTTTTAGCGAAATTCTGAGCTATTTTTTTTTGGGGGGGTTACCTTAATATGCGTAACAAATGATGTATGAAAATGCTGAAAATGACGATGCAAATAAAAACATAGCCATCATGCCACTTTTGAAGGAAACTATCCCCAGGAAACCAAGATATCAAAAGTTTAGCTTACTGCAAAGTTGAACACAGTATTTGGATAAAGGGATTGTATTGTGGGGGAAAAAAATGATAAACTTGCTCGCAACTAATGCTTTTTCTTTTTATACCCAGATAAATTTTCTCTGAATGAACGAGAAAAGAGACGTTTTTCTTCAAAAGGAAACACGTGATTAAGTCTGCATCACTGCACACTGGTCTCAAGATAAAGTTTGCTGTTCTACTGCTATTTCGACTATTTGTGGAGTATGTAAGGGTATCTCCCAAGCACACGTAACGATATACATTATCCTTGTAACCAGGTGTCGCCCGGACGCTAAAAAATACATCTGCATACCTGAACATACCTGACATTCCCTTCATACCCTACACGGATCGTGACTCCCTTTATCCTAAGTTGTTAATCTAAAATTTACATATTTTTTGATAGTCTGATTAGTTCAATAGATTGAGGAACGGAGTATGGAGTATATAAATAATGTTTAAAAATATTCGGCAAGGAAATAATTGAGCTACCTGTGGTGCGTCATGATTTGGCTAGTTAATACTAGTACAGGTGAAGTGCACTTATCGTGTTAAACTAAATTTGTGAATCTATACAGACTATATACTTTAGTCATTCAGTTAATACCAAGTCTGCCTGATCATCATCCGTCTGTTTCTGTGTCTGTATGCGCGTCCTCTTATTATTTAAATAACTATATTTTACAGGTTTGCGTACAATATTTATATAGCGCTTGGTTATTCTACCTTTTAAGTCATGTACGTAGATCACTAAAGGATGCACTTTTAATCATGCACTTTTAAAATTATTTTCCCTCAAGACTTGTTTGATATACGGTCAAAAGAATGTCAATGGTCTCAAATGCATTGTCTCGTCTCTGTTCTCGCCCACAACTGGGACACTCGAGAAATGATTTATTAAGCTGCATAACACAGCCTGAAATGATCTAGTCGCTTTACACTGTACGTTAAATGCATGTAAACGTCTTTAAGTGCAGGAATATCATCAGTGATGTTTATGGGCAATACTGTTATCTTTATGGACACCGACCGCTTAATGGGAGGGGGCGGGAATGGGGTTACTTTCGTACCAAGATATATTGTTTTTCAATATAATTGAGCCGGAAGTATTTTTTTTAAAAAAAAAATAAATTAAAAATGTCTCCTTCGATATGACCTTTCACTCTCAATCCATTAAAGTCCTAAAATGCGTCGTATTTTCCAAATGTGTGCTAAAGCTTAAGAAGTAGACAAAGAAATGTGATACACATTTGACCAAATTATAGTTAATGGCATGGAAAACAAAAAGTTTGGTTAGTAACTGAATTATTAGTAGCAGTTTAACATGTGCGGGCATATCTGAAACTAGCTATCGCCTTTTGGGCAATAAAATTCCTCCACAACGAATATCCGTGTCAAGTACTTGTGCACCTTTAGGATCTGTCTTTTAAGACTAGATGACGGCGTGGGCGGCCGCACAATCATTTTTGGGAGTGGGTGGGGGCAAACACGTAATGGTCAGCCGTTAAGTTTTAGTATTATACGCCAAAATATTGTTAGAGGTGCAATATGAGTGACCCCCCCTCCCGTGTGCAGGAGCCCATGGATGACGGCAGAAAACACGGAAACTGTTTTTCTTTTAAAATGTACTTGTGTGTAAAAGATACCAATGCCTTAAAATGCAATGACGAGATGGTGCCTTTATAATTTCAAAATCCCAGTTGAAAGGGTTTTATTGTTCAATCTTGAGAATATGAATTAAAGGCCAAATATAACCGGATGCTTTACTGATTTATGTAAAGTTTACTCTTGCATCAAGGTCAACAAAGGAGCGATCTACAATTATCAAGCTATCAGAACGTATCGGATACACAGTACTTGTACAGACACGTTCGGTACTAGTTACGGCCTTTCTTCGAAGTCCCTCCCTAACTATTGTCTGCATCAAGACCTTTCGGCTCTCGAGCAAGGATGAACAGCTTTCTGCAGACTACCTGTAAATATAGGGGATATTGTATTTTCCATAAAATGCATCGAACTGGAAAAGGTTAGTATCTTCCGTGAATAGAAATGACGAAATCGTGCCCTACCAACCGTGACCTTCTCTCTCTCTCTCTCTCTCTCTCTCTCTCTCTCTCTCTCTCTCTCTCTCTCTCTCTCTCTCTCTCTCTCTCTCTCTCTCTCTCTCTCTCTCTCTCTCTCTCTCTCTCTCTCTCTCTCTCTCTCTCTCTCTCTCTCTCTCTCTCTCTCTCTCTCTCTCTCTCTCTCTCTCTCTCTCTCTCTCTCTCTCTCTCTCTCTCCGTGCTCAGATTTTCGCCAAGATCTATTCCTGCCGAATAAAGTCCACATTTTTCAAGAACACTAAAGACGAGAAAAGAGGATAAATTCGCTGAAGGAAAAATAAATGTCCCAAGCTATGACATGTTCACTAATGACTACGACAATCTGTTAAAATTTAGCATTTATAAAATCTACGCCATCAGGTTGACTGACGGTTCAACACAAGGATCAACTACGCACCTTATCAAGTCCACATTTTACATATCCCCTGCTGGAGGTAGAATATACCCTATATGCCATTCCACTTGTCGTACGAGGCGACTAATATAGACAAAGTCATGGTGACTCCCTGGTTAGCGTGCCAGCCTCTTTGCTGAAAAGATGCGGGTTCAATCCTACCATTTGATAAACCCGGATCGGCTACTGAGGTCGTTTCTGGATATGACACTATTTCAACTGCGTCGGCAATAAATAAATTGCTTGCGTTTTTGTGCTGCAAAACACCAAACTAAACCAAACCCAAACAAGAACAAACTTCATTTTACCAACATATTTATTTTCAGTTATTATACTTACTAAAATATTCACATTTTCATTGCGATTCCTCGTAAAGACCAATTTTAATCGATCAGACATGAAATGTTGGTGGGTGGGTTTTTTTTGTTTGTGCTGATTTTTAAAGCACACTGAGTGCTTTATTGATTGGCGTTATTGAATTGAGAAAATGAAAGCGAAGTTAATTTCCCGAGACTACACCGAGGCAACAAACCGGAATGACCTTTACGGACATCGAACGCGCAACACGTGGATAACGATTTCGACGTTCTACCAAGTGGGGGCTACCGCGGCTGCCAGGTTTTTTTTTTTTTTTTTCTTCTTTTTCTGACGAGTCTTTAGCGTTTTCGTAGCTCAGTCGTGGAATGAGCACTGTGTGCAAATCATAACCTGCCGTGAAGATTTTGTTGTCCTTTTATAAACTAGTCACGGTTTATCCACTCTGTCATATGCAGATCAACAGCGATCTAGCTCATACAAACAGTAGTTACGATAGTTTTCAAGATTTGTCGATTTTTAAAAGTGATATTTTGAACTTATATCAGTTTCAACAATCTCCAATATGCGATACTTATCTTATCCAGTATAATGTAATGGATTCAGGTTATTCACCCCCGAGTTGATTTACCTTAAAACCCACGCGATGTAGTCTCGTTTATTTTTAGGATACTTCCATCTCTACATCAATTATAAATCCCGAAAGTGGTGTTGTTGGTGTTGTCGTTGTGGACTTAACGCCATTTTTCAGCACATAATAGGCTCTGCATGGAGGCCAATATATATATATATATATATATATATATATATATATATATATATATATATATATATATATATATATATATATATATATATATATATATGTGTGTGTGTGTGTGTGTATGTATGTATGTAACGCCGGGAAAATCCAACAACTCACGGGAAACTACTGGCAAGTTTTCCCACACACTCGCTGTGACCAAGCCCAAACCTACGAGGGCAGAGGAGAGATGTC